TTTGAATGGTTTGAATGTTGTGGAATTATAGATTCTGCAATTAGTTAGTTTTATAAGACTTTAATGGTTTGATTATGGTTGCAATTGGGTTGTTGGTTTGTGGGATTATTGATGTCTGTGACGGTTGGTTTTATTAGGCTTTCATGTCTGTCAAAGTTTTTGAGTCAGGTACATGGCATGTAATTGACCATTTGATATGTAATGTGATGGTTGAAACCTGTTTTGGTGTTGTGCTTATATTGATATGGCATTGAACAAAAAATGCTTATATTGATATGTTGTTTTGATGTAACCATTTCATATGGCATTGAACAAAAAATGCTTATGAGTAACTTGTTTTTGTAACCTGTTTTTGGTATCCCATGAACAAGATATGCTTCTGAGTAACTTGTTTTTGTATCCAGAGGACTTTTTGGTATCCAATAAACAACATATGGTTGTAACCTGGTTTTGGTATGATGCTTTTCAATATGTCACCATTTCTAACCTCTAAACAAGTTTCCATTCATATCACAGATCAAATAAAACTCTAAACTCTAAACAAATAATGAACTAATGCTTACTCATAAAACTCAAAACAAATTACATTGTTTTCCCACCAAAATACATTATATTACACAAACTGAACTACTGCTACATTACATTAGCATTTGTTCTCAAATTACAGCCCACTGAACTACTGCTTCTCAATCACATTACACCCACCAAATTCCAAAATATATTACTCTTAATTCCTCCAAATTCATCCTAATTCATCACCATGGCAAACACCACCACCCAGGAAAGCAATATAGAAGCCCACAATATTTTTGACTTTGCTCGAATCTTTGCATTTTCCTTCTCCACCCTATCAATCTTCCTCAGCAAACCAGGTATCAAAGACTTTGAACGCTCACACATTTCTGTATCAAACCACTAAAAAAACCTACATCCTTTTTCACCACTTCCCTGTATCAACCAAGAACAATAACTAAAAATTTGATCCATTTAATCAATGACTGAATATTTGATCAATTTCATCAATGACTGAATATTTCATCAATTTCATCAATGACTGAAAATTTCATCAATAAGAACTCTATCAATTTGTGATGCCCAAAACAATGACTGAAAATTTGACCTTAAACATTCTTACCTTTGACTTTGGGCAGACTGGAAATCTCCGCCCTGGGTTTGAACTGGTCCACGAAGTCTGCATCCGTGCTAACTTCCCACAATCACACCATTGGGCATGCCTTGCTTCTCCTATTTCCATCTATTCTTCAATTCAGTGTGTATTCACAGAGAGAACAACCAGCTTAACCTCCAAAATCGTGCGACCCAGTTCCCCCTTTTCTCCCAAATCGTGCGACCCCCTTCCCCGTTTCCCAAATCCGAACTCCACTCAGAGATTCATAAACCCTAATCTTCTACTCCAAAATCTCCCAATTTTGAACTCCACCTTAGAGTTTTATCAACCCGTGATTTCTTCTCTAGATTCTCCCAAATTTCGAACCCCACCACAGATTTTGGTAAGCCCTAGCCTCCTTCTCCAAATTCTCCCTTCTCACCCAAATACCCTATTTCCTCTCTTCATCTGAAAGTGAAAAAACCCTTATTCGCAGAGGTTAAAGATTAAAACAAAGTGGGGCCCAAAGCTTGTAACGAAACGTCAATAATCCTGACGGAAAGGGTAACGTGAGACCATTTTTTAAAGGTTGGGGGGGTACTTTGAAACATTTTAAAACCCGGGTGGTAATCTGAGACAAGTTGCAAAGCACAGGGGGCATGTAGCTAAATAAGCTTTGTGTTTAATATGAGTAATGCTATTTAGACACACAAAATTGACAACATGAGCTACCACTTATACGGCAGCTAATGTGATCATACAATGTCATGTCAATTAATGAATATTATTATGTGGATTTTATTTTTGATTTCTTTCCTATTTTTTAATAACTAGCCTCTCCTTTTTTTTTAATAACTGGAATTGGTGATGTGCTGGATTTGGACTGCCTTGTTTCAAGCATTTTAAGCATGGATGGTGGGATATTGAGAGGTTGAAAGCTGTTGTTCCTGTGGAGGTAGTAGAAAGAATTCTTAATTTTCCCATTGGTTTTATTGGTACTTTACAGGATTCGCAGATTTGGAAACACACAGCCAATGGGGTATTCACTGTTAAATATGCATATCAACTGCTTTTTGGAGACTCTTCTTGGAATGACTCGTTTTGGAAGGTTTTATGGCAGTTGAACCTTCCCCCCAAGTTGAAAGTCTTCATCTGGCTTGTCTATCAAGATAAAATCTTGTCAAATGATCAGAGAGTAAGAAGGAATTTAGCTACTGACCCTTCTTGCTTTATATGTGATTGGCCCTATGAAACTGCTCTCCACATTCTTAGAGATTGTACTAAAGCCAAAGAGATTTGGTGATATTTCTTGCTTCCCCACCAACGAAATAATTTCTTTTATACTGACTTCCAACCTTGGTTAAAGACCAATATCCTTTACAAGGCTAGATGGTCTTGGAGTATTTCTTGGGGCTCTGTTTTTGTGTTTATTTGTTGGTATTTGTGGAAATGGAGAAACTAATCTATCTTTAATGTTGATGATACTGCTCCTTCTAACACCAGTCAAATCATCTTATATGCTATCTCTGAATGGAGTATGAAAATACCTATAGGATGTCTATATGTGCCTAGAGGGTGTTAATAGGCCAATTTAATATTATAATCAATAAACTTCGGTAGCAGGATTGATATGGCTTATCAATCCTGAAATGTGTTGGGCATAAAATAAAAGAACACGCAGAGAATTATTTAACGTGGTAAAACCCCACCTCTGGGGAAAATCCACGGGACTCCTTAGTCCAACACAAATCCACTATAGAATGATGATTACAAGAAGTACTCACACACTTATCCTAGACACATTCTAGTTAATGTTTACCGACTTCTTCGTAACTCAACTTCTGTCACGGGATGATCTTCGACACTCCTTATGTTGAACGCAATATTGGTCACAATTGCTTCAAGCTCGCCGGAGGAAAACCGCCACCACGGTTTTGGTGCCCTCAACCGTATGAGTCACCGACATGCACATGAATGCAATATGAATGATGAAAGTGTTTGATAAATCACCAAGTAAATATGGAACACCTGATGATTTATCTCCAATATATGCGCATCAGCTTTTTTCACAAAACAAATTCAATATGCTCTCAAAGAATAATGCGTGAAAAAACCAACTGATGAAAGGAACCAACAATGGTTTTCTTCCATGCAGGTTTCTCTCACTGGAGAGAAACCCACGTGACTACTATTTCAATTCAACAATGACTTTGAAACCTATTCAACTATGACTCCAAACTTGATGCAAAATGAACTCATAGTAAGGAAGTCAAAATAGGACCACAAAGGTTAATCAATTATGACTACTAGTTTTGAATCAATATGGATTCTTAAAGAAAATGCCAACCAGCCAATTTTTAATAGAAAAATAATATCTATTAAAACCAAGGTCTTAAATATCGGTTGTATCGGAAATATCGGTAGGCCAAAAACACGGAACTTTCGATGGAAATATCGGGATATTATCGATATCGATAAAAATTGAATAAAAACCACGGAAATTGTAAGAAAAACTTGGAAATTTTTATTGAAACTTTGCAGGATGTTTATTTAGTTAATTATCTACTAGTTTATCACAAAAAATTGAAAGGAAATGCATTGCATGATGGATTTAACTGATTTAAGTTGATTATATAGCGAGCTGGCAAACACTGTGAGTGTAGAAAATATATAGTAATTAATGAAAAAAGATTAAACACACCATAATCATTTATATATAATGAATTACTATAATATTTTACACTTTATACATTGCATGGTAAAATACATGGTGATTTGTTTCTTGCAAAAGAAATTCACAACAAAACCATGTATATATATAAATATTTTAGCATATTTTCACAAAAACATAAGTGATATGGTGGTTAAGGTGTTGAATGAGTAAAATGGGAGGGGTTCGAATCCCCTTGGTGTCTTTTTTAATTTAGAAATTTATCTTATATAATAAATATTAGCTTACAAATATTTTAAAGACGTTATAAATATTACACGCCGAAAATATAATCACAAACATGTACGCAGTTGAGTTGGATAATGTAACAACCCAAACCTCAATTATTATTTAATTATAAATTATTAGAGTAAAAAGACAAAAATGCCCTTGAGATATTCTATTTGGTTTTAAGTTGACGTTTTGACCGGGAAGGAATTTTGGAAATCCACCTGTACTGTTGCGTAGAGCGCGACGAAATGAGTCCGTAGACACGTAATGGACTCGAATCGGACGTGTAACGAAGGAATTACGAGCAAAATACACAAGAAGGGCAAAATTGTAAATTTCAAAAATCAGATTTAAAAATCTGATTCTCTCTCTCTCCTCACTTCCTCTTCTTCTTCGCGAAACTTCCCCCTCCCCTGTTTTTC